CAGACAGAGAGGGGCAGGGCGCTGGTATGGGGTTCAGAGTTGAGAACTGGGCAGGTAGGAGCCCAGGCAGACCTGCCCCCCTCCCCCACCATCACTCCATCCCCCCTGCCTTTAGCAAGGGAGTGGGCAGGGCTGGGCAGGGCTGGGCAGGGCGGGAAGGCCTGGCAGTGAACAGGAGTGGCACACAGGCCTGAGGCTGTCCCAGAGCCACTCAAGGCCAGGAGACGGGGCCCTGGGAGCTGGGTAAGGCAAAGAGGAGGGGGAATCCAGCTCCCAGCCCCCAGCCCTGCCCATTTCCTCTCCCTCTGGCGCAGGTGGAGGGTAGGGACAGCCTGTCCAGGACTGGACAGCTGATGGGCGAGTGCGACGCACGACAGGTCAGACGGAGAGCTCCCACCGCCCTGGGTCCCGGTGCAGGGACAGGGGACTGGAGGCTCTGATGGCAGCCAGCCCCCGGCTCGGGCAGGGGGCCTCCCCCAGGGTTGTCTGCTGGCCCAAGCAGGAAAGGTCTGGGGTCCTGGTCTCACCCCCTCTTCCAAAGCCTCCGCCAGGCAGGACGAGCCAAGGGACAAGAGTGGTTGCATTTCACAAAACACCTGTTTCATGAAAACTGGGTCCGAACGTGAAGACTCGATCACGAAAAGGTATTCTTTGCTCATTAAACATTCATTCACGGAGGGTTCCTGAGCGGCCATGCGGGGCGAGGGGTCCGGGAGGAGTCTAAGGCACTGGCCCTGCTCTGCACACGGCTCCTCTCCCCAGGAGGGCAGGGAGGCCTGGCAGCACCTGCCGCTGGACAGGGAGGTCTTGGGAGCAGCAGCCAGAGCGTGTCCTGCCGAAGCCACTGGGCACAGGAGACACACGCCAGGCCCAGGCCCGGCCGAGCCCTGCAGGCGCGGGGATCGCAGCTCAGAGCTGCGGGCTGGCCCCGGCTCTATGGCCAGAGGCCCAGGGGGCCAGGGTCTGTGTGGCCAGGTCTCCCCTGGGAAAGGAGAGAGGAAGACCTGGGCTTGATGGGCCACCACACCCCAGGAGGGCTGACCTGGTCTCTCTAAACTGGACACAGGAAGGACCCTGATCAGTACCTGGGAACCAGAGGCGACTCAGGGACACCCCAGCCAGCCAGGCTCCCCCAGGCACCCACTCAACATCCCTCCCCTGGGGGACCCTCCCAGAGCCACCGGCCCAGGAGCCATGCTGCCCCAGCCCCACCCGGGGTGGCAGGCCCTCCATCTGGTGCAGAGGCAGCAGAGCTGGTGGGCACAAGTGGACACAGTCTCCTGCCCTGCATGAGCCGCCCTAAGCTCCCCGTCCCAGTGCATCCTGCGGCCAGGCTCCCGTTAGCCAGGATCCCCACCTGCTCCCCCTCCACATGCTGTGGCTGAGGCAACTGGGCTCAATTCCTCTGGGACCCCCTCTCTGTACCCCGCAGGGGCCCGTGACCCCACCGGCCAGAGAAAAAGGCACAGATAGGACAGGGGTCCTGTGACCCCGGCTTCCACCCCCACTCCGCGCCCGGGCACTAGAGGTCCAGGCCTGCAAGGCACGGTCTCCACCTCCGCACAGCCCCCCACGGGGAGGGGCTGCCGGCCAGGGCCAGCACAGGGCAGGGAGGGTCAGAAGAGG